ATTGATAATGTCCTACCACTTTGTCTGTAATTCAGTAAATCCCCCTATTACTATGTTATCCTTCTTTTACTCTTTAAAGTTAAAAAAAAACTAAAAGAAACAGTTAATGATTACTTGATTGATCAATAGTACATATCTCTATTAGTTTTCCTGAGAAACTACCTTGAAGATATCAATATGCAATACAGCAAGCATTGTTAATTTCCTACCACTTTGTTTGTAACTCTATATTGTTTGTATTGTTGTTTTGCTATTTTGTAAATGTTTGTCTGTTCATTTATGTGTTTTCCTTCTTTTATGTTTCAAAATAAAAAAATAAAGTGTAAGAGAAATAAAAGGAATAAAGATGGAACAGAGGAAGTGAATTATCATTATTCACAGATGATACTCTACATGGAGGACCTCAAAACCTCCACCAAAAGACTCATAGATTCAATAGCATAGCTGGATACAAAGTCAACAATCAAAAATCAATAGCATTCTTGTACACAAAGAACAAAGAAACTCACTAAGAGAACCTCACAGATCTATAGGAAATATTCCTAAAATTCATCTGGAACCAAAAGAGACCTAGAATAGCAAAAACTATGATGGACAACAAACTCAAGGCAGGAGGCATCACAATCCCTGACTTGAAATTATAGTACAAAGCTACTGAGATAAAATCAGCATGGTACTGGCAAAAGAAAAACAGACCTGAGGATCAGTGCAACAGATTAGAAGATACAGACACAACTACAAACACACTCAGCTACCTTATCATTGACAAAGGGCAAAAACATGTTCACTGGAAGAAAGATAGCCTCTTCAACAAACGGTGCTGGAAAAACTGGATTTCCACATGCAAAGACTAAAATTACATGCACATCTATCACCATGCACTAAACTAAAGTCAAAATAAATCAAACATCTAAATATTAAAACAGAAACACTAAATCTACTGGAAGAGAAAGTAGCTAGAAATCTTGAAGACACAGGGGTAGGCAGGGAGTACATGAACAAAACTCAGACTGCACAGGGAATATTTCAAAGCATCAACAACAGGAATGTCATCTTATTCAACAGTTTTTGCACATCAAAAGAAACATCAACAGGGTAAAAAGAAAACCCAGGAATTGGGAAAAAATTTTAGCTAACATCCCTTAGACCAAGGACTTCTATCTAGAACATTTAAAGAATTTTTAAAAATCAGGCCCCCAAAATTCAAAGACCCAATCCAAAAATGGGCATCTAAGATGAATACACTCTTCTCAGATGAAGAGATATACATGGCAAATAAATATATGAAAAAGTGTTCAACATCATTGGTCATTTGAGAAATGCAAATTCAAACAACACTGAGATTCCATCTCACCCCAGAAAGAATGACTATCATCAAGAAATCAACCAATAGCAAATGCCGGAATGATGTGGGGAAAAAGGAACACTTATCCACTGCTGGTGGGAGTGTAGACTGGTGAAACCGCTGAGGAAATCAGTATGCAGATTCCTCACAAAACTAGGATTAGCGGTCTCAGTTACCCTAGCTATTCCCATTCTAGGTATTTTTCCAGAAAAACTGAAAATATCATACCACAGCAGTATATGTGCACCCATGTTTATAGCAGTGCAATTTGTCATAGCTAAATCTTGAAAAC